TTGTTGGTGCCGCTGATTAACAGCGGCACAGTTATTACTAAGAGAATGTTTATTGAGTTGCTTTATCGCGAGGCCCAAATTTTATGATAATTTTTATTTTGTTCATCTTTTGTTCCATTTTTCCATTAGGGCCGTTTTTCCTCGAAACTGGTATCGGATTAAGAGGGCTATTAATTGTATTTACCATTGCTACATTTGTTTTTCAGTTAGATTGGTCAGCCTGGCGGTTCGAAACTAGGTTCATGATTTTTAACTTATCTACAGTGTTGCACAACTACTAATAATCTGATGCACCCTAATCAAAAAAAAATGTCAAAAGTGTCTGTGCATAGCAAAGAAAATTCCGAAAAATATGCTCGTGCAAGAAAATATCTCCTGGCCATCAAGCTGAACATTGAGATTTCTTACTGTTTCACAAAGGGTGATTATTGGAGAAAAGATAAAAAACGGTGTCCAGCAAATGATAAATACTCCAACAATGACAAAAAGAGTCCGAGCAGCTCGTTGTTCATGCATATACTTTACCAGTTGCCGGGATTTCTCACGCGCCGCCGCGCCACGTTTCAGCCAAAATTGTAGTAAACTTGATTCCTGCAAACTATTAAAATTTAATTAAAGTTTGGAACGGCTCGAGATGAAATGAAAAGCTCAGTTTCAAAGTGACCCGATGAGAAGGACTTTATGCAACGTTGCTAAGGGAAAAGGAAAGGCGTAAGGAAGTGTTCTCTGCGCTAGAAATGATAATGTTTGTGCGTTTTTGCATATATGCAAATGTGAAAAGCATATTGTGACGCCCCCAGTGTGCGCGTGTGTGTGTGTGTGTGTATATATATATGTATGTGTGTGTGCGGTTGCCCGGGTATTTCAACTCGTCAACCAAGCAAGCTCCAGCGCCAAAATTTTACCAGTGGGTTCCCCGGCCAAGTACCATCCCAAGAAAAATCGCTAACTCCGGAACCAGAAAAACTAGAGAGCTGAAATCTTGCGGTTACATTCTTCCTCCACGTGGAACTCAAAGATTTCAAACCCAACCCCCAGTTGTGTCCTGTTCTCACATACGGTTTCGTGAAAATTTTTGGCAGGAAAATTCGCTAGCTCGAGAACCAGAAATGCTGAGAGGCTCAAATTTTAAGAAGATGTTCCCAGCCCATGCACAAATTAAAAAGTATAAATTCATTCTCCAGTCATACATGGTTCCCACTTACAGTCCCGTGAAAGTTTTTGGCAGGAAAATTCACTAACTCGGGAAAAAAAAGCTGGAAAGCTGAAATTTTAACAGAATGTTCATTCTCCAAGTACACGTGATAGTTGTACGATTAACTTCTTGAAGCTCGAGGACCTGTATGTCATAAATTGTAGCACTTGCAATTCTAGGCAAACTTATAACAGCACTAGATACTGCAAATCGCATGGTCGCACAGGTTCGCCCGGTGCACGTTGCCAATGATTTCTTAGAATGACAAGTGACGACTTTCGTGAAGAAATGCTGAGTTAGCTCAGTTGAGTGACGTTTATGGCAAAGCTTGTTTGAGAAAACCAAAGTTGAGATATGCTGTCCACTGCTTTTCGCCAGCTAAATATGTTGCTAGATCTTGTATGTGAACAACATTTCCTAGCCTAAAAAATTGGTGCTGCAAACAAAATTTTATTAAGTGCCTAAACATTCATGTTACTCCGCCAGCCCGGACTAGTAAGCATGAAACATATTTTAAAAATCTGTTTCAAATTAAATTTCTGCTTCACCACAAAACTATCTTTTAGACTTAAACTTCTCCGGATAGATCGATAAGAAGTACTTCTCTGTAGTTCGATTTTTATGTGTATATAAAAAACTTAGTCGAAGGCGCATCGGCTGCCGGTACAAGGATGCATTTTTTGCACAGTTCCTCCGCAGGTTTTTTTCGCCAGTGGCACGTTCTTCCAGGCAGATGCTTCTAGCTAAAAGAATTGGGACTGGCCACCACGGCCGTTAGAAATTATTACAATGGCTCCCAATCCATGCTCAAAAAATCCAGCGCTTTGGATGCTTCGGTTGCGGAATTACGCCAAATTTCACGTGTTCCTACGTGAGTGGCAACGTGAGTGCTTTCTTCACCCGCGGTTAGTCAAACACGGTCCTGGGTAGCGCTCAGAAAGTTTCAGCACTCCAGCTGCTCTGCTTGCGGAGCTGCATCAAACTTTATGTGTGCACACGCAAAACGTACGTGAGACGTGAAAGTGATGTGGAATTCGTTTTTGCGTGCATCCGGTCGAAGGCCACGGTCGGTTATGCTCAGAAAGTCCAGGTCCTTTGGCTGGCTCACTTCTGAAGTTACAAAGGCGCATGCGTGAGATTTTCACGTGTTCGTACGTGAGATACAGAAGAGCTGGCAAGTAATTTACTTTCTCGGGCACAACAGTAGGCGACAAGTAGCGCTGCAAAATTGCAGCTCTCTGCAGCTTATTGGTCAGCTTAAATCTGAAGTTGGCGTGATGCCAGTTTAAACTTTGACGTGTGCGTACGTGAGATCTGGCGGGTGCTTGAAGGCTGAATTTGAAATCGTTTGATTAGACGCGGCCAAGGAACATCTCTGTGAAGTTCCAGCCTCCTAGCATGGGCCGTTCCCGAAAATGTTTTCCCGCCAAAAAAACTTTCACGTGCCTCTTTGTGAAAACCACGCGGAAATGAGCGTCCATTTTGAGGATAAAAGCCCGCACGTATGTGCAGATTAATTCACCAAATTTTCAGCCTTGTGGCTTTTGTGGATCTCGAGATGAAAACTCCTTACAGACGCACACACAGACACACACACGCACACAGCCCCTCGACAGTATGCGTTTTTGCACTGCTTAGCTGAAAACGCATAAAAAATTAATTTAGAAAT